AAAAAAAAAAAAAAAAAAAAAAAAAAAAAAAAAAAAAAAAAAAAAAAAAAAACCTTTCGAGTCTTAACAATTAAATAAATAAAATTGAAAATTAGCAGATATAGTGATACACATAAAAAAATTACACACGTAAAATTATAATTATTCATTAAAAAAGAATTTTTTTTTTTATTAATAATAGTATTGACTTATAAGGGGTGAAGAACTATGATGACTAAGGAGCAATCTAGGGAGTTGGTGAGAGGAGCTTCCTAGTTATTTAAATAATAGTTACAAGGTATTTTCTATAATCTATTGAAATAGGAGGATATGTTTGAATTTAAAGGATGTCCCCATCACTATTAAAAGATAGGCACCCTTTAGTTGCATGATCCCCAAGCACCACCTTCAGTGTGCTCCCCTCACCCCTTGGTGCATTCCATCCCTTGTATGTGCAATTAGTTATTATTTATATTTATTGAGAAGTTATTATTTGCACATTAAAACTTTAAAAATGGCAATTTTTTAGGAGCTTATACTCTTGTGATAATAATTCTGACCCGGTTTTAAAACCGGAAAAACAATCTTAAAATTCTTCTTCGGGAGTTAGAAGAAAAACACAATAAAAAAAATCTCGGATGGTCAGAAGAATACAGAGGAAGTGTCACTCATTTATCGTCTGCTAAGATGGTCGAGCATGCGCTCTCATGCATATGATGGACAATCAATAGTTTTTTCGTATCCATAGAAACGGAAGCCGCTATCTGAAATGGCGACGACTTTAGAATTTCAAGGACGAATATTTTCCACTTCAATACTTTTTATAAAATAGCTTAATTTATATGGACGTCCGGAAATGAAAATACCTGTCAGAATTTGAAATTAGAATATTCTATGCGAGTTATTTTTGTTCCAACAGCTGGTGTATGTTACTGAGACTTAGAATACCGGTACAAGAACACGCGAAGGACTTTTTTAATGCGCTTAGAACGTCATTCGAGTGAAGATACTACTCCGAAGAGATAAATTTTTTCCCTATACAAGTGATAGAATTGTTCCTTCTAAGATAAATTTTTAAGATGAATTGACTGAATGGATTTATTTTCTTTCAACTGGTGAAATTGTGGTTATTGCATACTCACAAAAAAACACACTAAAAAAACGGATATCTAACGCCGGAAGTCACGTGACTGATGTCCATTCTAAGGCAATTAAATGGTAATTATTCTGCGTTTATTTGTAAATTATATTAAAAGAGGCTCTTTTAAATAAAAAACAGTAAGAAATATTTTGCATTAACATTTAACGATAAATTTCTTATTGTTATTAAGAATTATAAGTCAAAGTATTGTTACCTTATGCTTTATTTATGTAAATAACTTACAAATACAAATTTGTTGTCTTCAGATTTCTATATTATGTTAAAATAATATGTTAAAATTTTAGATTTTGTCTAAGAAATATGTGCAATTTTTTTCTAATCTTTATTGAAGTTTTTTTTTTTTTTTTTTCTTTCATTTGAAGCCTTATTTTTAGCTGAAAAGTACGTGTAGTAATGAATTTTATAAGTTCAAAGAATATTAATAATGTGTAATCATTTTATAAGAAATCTAAGATCGGAAGTCACGTGACTGATGTTCATTCTCAGACAACTGTTAATGGTAATTATTCTACATTCATTTGTAAATTATATAAAAAGCTTTTGTAATTAAATAAATAAAATATATTTTACTGCAACATTTCAAGATATATTTTCTTATGGTTAGTAAGAATTCTAAGTAGAAAAATTTTCACCATATGATTTAATTATGTGAAGGACTGTATGTTTTATTTATGTAAAAAATTCACTTCTACATTATGTTAAAATAGTAGCTTAAATTTTTGATTTCCTTAGAAATGTGTGAAATTTTTATTCTAGTTTCTATTGACGTATTTAAGTATTATCATTTCAAGCCATATTTTTAATTGAAAAGCATGCGTTTTAATATATTTTGTAGTTCAATAGAATATTGATAATGTTTAAACATCTTACAAAAAAAATTATTGCTCTTTATAAATTATTATTGTCTTAATATCTACACTGAGACTGCAGCATTCTATTAAAATTAAAGGTAGTTAAAGTTGCCCGGTAGTTAAAATACTAAATATTTTAACTACCGGGCGGCGATTTTTCAATCCATCAGCATTTAATGACTTGCTCTCCATTTCATTTCTTTAAATAAAAAAAATTTTCATTTCGTTTGTCATTTCTTTAAATAAAAAAAATTTGATTAATGATTTTTTAATTCGTGTAAAAAATTTTAAAAGAAATAAAAGCTTGATCTATAATTGGGACAAACTACAGCCAATTTCAAAAAAAAAAAAGAAGAAAAAAAAAGAGCGAGAGTCGTTAAAAGTCACTGGATTGCAAATTAGCTATTGGGCATGTTAACTACTTAAAAGGCTACAGTGGACCTTCAAAAAAAATTTTTTTTTTATCTTTAAAAGTGAATTTTTTTCTTCTTCCAACATGTATCTTAGCTAACTAATTATATTCTGAAAGTTAAGAAAAAAAATTTCCAGCCATTTTTGAAAAATTCAATTTTTTAAAAAAAAATTTAATAATTTTTAAAATGCTCCCAACGGCTTTTANATAAAAGCTTGATCTATAATTGGGACAAACTACAGCCAAGAGAAAAATTTCAACAAAAAAAAAAAAGAGCGAGAGTCGTTAAAAGTTACTGGATTGCAAATTAGCTACTGGGCATGTTAACTACTTAAGTGATTATAAAAAGTTATAAAACTCAAAAAACTTAAATATTTTATTTGCTCATAATTTAATTATACCTTTTGTTTGCTAGCTTAGTATATAGTTCAACTTGGCTACCACTTTAAAATTTTTCATAGGGCACTTTGAGTGCCAACATACATTCTAATGTAACGATAATCATGCATGCGTTTCAAACATTACATGTAGGTCATGTATATATCATGTAAATATTGTATGGGTAACAATGTATGGGTGAATAATGTATGGGTCATGCAAATATTTGTATGTAATTTCTGCCGACAAGTGGTTCATGTTGGCTCAGCTTTCATTCCTGATTGTTATCTGTTAGCTCGTAATTCGATATCGGAATACCCTTCAGACGCTCATCTCAGGATCTGCCTACTTAATAGAAAGATAAAGGTGCATCGACGTTCCTTGCTTGTTTCTGTTCTCTAAATTTATATGATCTGCCCCTGTAGAACGACAATGACGACACAAAGGTGTAGTAAAAATTTATATTGGTACTTAGCTGTTGAAATAATTTGTATTTTTTTAATACAGGGTATTGCATAAGTATGTCCCTTAGAATTAATTTTTACAGTCTTACTCAAAGATGAAGTTAAAAAAAAAAAAATTCTACAAGTTTTGGAGTGAAAAATAATTTTAAATTAATTCTACAAATCTAAAGTGTGGTAAAAAGTTATGTGCATAAATATTCTAATAAAATTAAACGTATACAATAGGGAGGCTTTTTTTTCTTTTAGTTTATAACCGGCGTAGAGAAGCCGTCCTAATTTTAAGTTTACGACTATCAATGTTTAACTCTATAGCCTCTTAATTTTGAACCCAACCCTGAAGACAAAGGAGCTCCTGGATAAAGCATAGGGACAAACTAGCCTTCGTGGTGGACTTTTTAAGGAAACTAACCTGCAATTGCATTGCATTATGGAGAGGAAAACCACTAAAACCTCCCATGGTGAGCCTGACGACAAGGGGACTCTAACACATGATCCGTCTACTACTGAGGATATTTTACTTCTGCACTGTGATCAGATCGAGACGGGTGTGGAATTCGTATCGACAAGCCATGGCTGGGATTCGAACCTGGGGCACTTCATGGAAAGGCGATTGCTCGATCCTCTGATCCACAACTGTTCAGACCCAATATTTTATCCATTTACATTTAAGGTTCTTTCTACAATTAAAAAAAAAGAACGCAACCACTAAAAGTTAATAATGCAAAACACACAGTTGGCACAATTGCCGAAAAACACATAGGGACTATTAAAAAAAGTGGTTATTGAACAATAAAGTGTAAAATTTGTATCGTCCAGAGTGGTAGATGGTGACGGAAAAGCACCCTCAAGTACGAAGTGTTAAATGAATTTACTTATCTACTATTTATTTTATGAACCTTAACCATAAAAGAAATCTACGTGGAAAGAATAGAACAAAACATTATCCAGTGTTACACTGTCATGCTACATACGATTTCAACTAAAAAAAGCTAAATTTATGTATAAAATTACATCTGCATTTATTATAAAAGTAATTTTAAACATACATTACCACATCTTAAGTGTTCTTAAGTGTAATTGCAACTGTTAAAATCCATTTTGTCTGAGTTTTTCGTTTGAAATGCTAACAAAAAGGGAAAGGGGTTTTGCTGCTTTCTCTAAAAATTAAGTGGCTGCAAAAATCAATTCAAGGTCATCTCTCAAATAAAATGAGTTAATAAGTTTGAAATGTTCTGAAATATTTTGGGAAATAGTGGATCTCAAAGAAAAGTTTGTTAAATAGAAAATTCACTTCGCTATTTGGAAGTTATTTTACGAAGAAATTTCCAAGATCATTTTGGTTCCTCGAAAAAAATCGCAAAATAGAGAAATTCGAAGAATGGAAGTTCATCTAATAGAAGTCCGACTGTAATTTTTTTAATTACTTATAACTAACTCCTTATAATGAACCTGACATTATTAACTTTATTAAACGACAAAGAATAAAATGGGCAAGTTACGTTATCAGAATGGACGAAAACCGTACCACCAAAAGATTTTTCAATGCCAGACCAGTTGGCATACGAAAAAGAGGCAGGCGGAATTTGAGATGGATAGATGGCCTGGAGAAAGACCTTTTGGTCTTAAAAACAAAAAATTGGAAAACACTAGCAAAAAAAAAACAAAAAAGAAATTAGCCTGGAAAAAACTTCTTGAGAAGTTCAAGGCCCACCGTGGGCTGTAGAGCCATTGAGGATAACTAGCTCCTAACAATAATTTTAAGTCTATTCTACTTTAACTAATTCTATTTCATTATCATAGTAAAAACAATAAAAGAAAATAGTTCAATAATAGTTTCATGCAATGCGTGTCGCTCAAACTAAGGGGTTTAAGTTGTTTTTGGTTGGTTAAAAAGAAAAAAAAAAGCTTTCATTCATGCTACATAAAATAAGTCAAGTTAGCTAAAGAATTCTGGAACTCATTCACGATAAGGCTATTTTCGTTTACAGTAATTAGTAAAAAGTTCTGTTCATTTTCAAAATTTTCGCTTTCTGCTGCAGTTGACACTTGTTTTTTCTCTTTTTAAAAAGAGAAGTTGTATCAAGTTGCATTTTCTGGAAGAGATGATGTAAATTCATTCATCATTCCAGTTTCTGTTTAAAATAGAAGAGCTCTGCTATCACATACCAGATTTATTGGTGAACTAGATAGAGAGTAATATTTTATGAAACGAGGTGTGTGATGAAAGAGGAAAAAAACCTTGAAAAAAAATTATTTATAATCTGTAAGTCCTTATCCAGAATTTAAAGCAGAAAGTGTTAAAAAATGCGACGTACGACGCAGAATAAAATCCGTACAGAAAAATTTATAGCAAAATTGTTTAAGTCCATCTTCTTACAGAACATTTTATGGCCAATTCTGAATGGAAAATTTTAGAATGCAGTTTAATTTTATAGCAGTTTGTTTCATTGAGTAAGAATTTGGTTAATTAATACTCCTTTTTTTTCAATTTTTTGTCGTTAAAAAATTGAATGTTAGCAATTCTAATGAGAGTTGTTTAATTTTTACTGTGCCCGAGGAACAATGGTAATTACCAGAGCTAAAATGTCAATACCTAAAAAATTCTAAAAAAAAAAAAAGGCTCGAAAACCATAAAAAATAGCTTTAAAATGAAAAAAATACCTTTTAAATTATCAACTTTATGTCGTTAATTAACTTGAAAAAAATATATAAATCGTATCCTGTTTTTATGAATTTTAAAAAAAAGTAAATTAGTGATTAAGATAAATTAGCAGTTCATGCATTAAATAAAATGTAAGTAAATAGCTAATTAAAATTTTTAGCTGATTAAGATAAATAAGAATTTATTAATCTTCAATTACTATCTTAAAGAACATCAGAATTTTACTGTACTATTAAATGCTTTTTGATGTTCTTAAAATTGAAAAAACGCCTTACATCCATAAGCTGAT